AACAAATGTAATTGTAGGATAATAGTTTTATTTTTTTTTTTTTGAATTTTTGGAATGTTTTTTGTCCCCAAATTTTTTCAAATTTTTTGCCCGCGCGAAAAAATTTTATCGCGACTTTAATGAGCCTTTGTTAAGGCTTAATCGCCTTTTAATGTTTTTTTAATGGGAGTTTTTTATCTAAATTAATTAATCGTTCTAAAGTTGTAGTGCACCGATTTTCCTTCGGTAAAGTTATTTAAAGCTGCTTTCTGATGACAAAAACGACCTCCGATAGTTTTTTAATTTTTTTAATTAATAGATTTTATTATATATAAGTTTAATTAATTAGGGGGGTCGGAAATCGCAATAAAAATTATAATATTTTTAAAATTTTTAAAAATATAGTTTTAATTTCTAGTCACCCTACTTTAAACCCTTCTCCTCCCGAGACGTCTATGAGAATGTCCCGGGAAATCCAACTCCAGTTGTGTTCAAGGTCATCCAGATGTGTAAACAATGACTCATGGTGTTAAATTTCACAGAAAGGCGAGGCAAAGAAAACTAAATGATGAAGTTTTTTAACCAAAATTAACGCATTTCTTTCGTTTTTTTTCAGTTTTAAGTATTTTTTATGCTTAATTAAAAATTTTTTTTAAAAAATGGACAAAAAGGGGTTAATTAATAATTTTTATGTAATTTAATAATTTCTGATCTTGTAAATGCAACATTTTGAAAATAAAACTTTCTTTTTTAACTTATTCTATGAATATGTTTTATATTTGTTGTGTATCTAATTAGTGATAACATTTACCTCTCAAATTTACCATTTTAATGCTTATCATATTTTCCATAGCATTTAATTAAGTCGTCTTGCTGCCATTTAGTAAACATTTGTCTACTATGGACAGAGGTCACTTGCACGTTGGAAGCGTGTACAAAGATTCTTTGTGCTAGTGGTCACTGGATGCTGCCACAAAGGACGTACCCTAAAGCATCAAGCAACAACCATGTGTGATCTGTAGTACTATAGTATAGTATCACGAATAACAAGTACCATAAAATAATATGTTAAGTTAGATTAAACATTGAAATATAGAATCCACATAAGTATCTGCTTCAGTTTTCCGATGTTTTTGACATTTTTCAAATACCACTACATTTTTTACATTTTCTTACCTGCAATGGAAAAATCTGGACATTCTCCAACTAGTAGAGGATTAATGAATGATTATGTACAAGTAAAATTTTAGACCAAGACATGAGAACCTTTGCCCTATTAAGGTAATGTAAAGTAAATTCTATATATCACTGTAATAAAGCAGTCATCATATAATTGTCTTCAGCAGGAGAATCTGTAGCAAATGCAAATGAAACAATCATTTGCATCAACTGTTTGTTGAAAATTTCTATTGAAGAATTGTGGGAAAAAATTTTTAAAATTTGACAATAAACAGTGTGTAGAAACACAGGGTGTCTGATAAAGATTTACATTATTATAAAATTTCATTTTAAAAAACAAGAAGTCTATTGAAATGCAATTTGTGGTAAAAGAAAAATTAATTCAAAATGTTTCTTTATTTTAAAATTAATACAAAAGCTGAAATTGTTTTGCATATACAGTATTCAGTGAACCTCAACATTTGTTCTTTTTAGTTGCACAAAAATGTCCAATCAATAACTGATTTTCCTGTCAGCTGTTGTTTAGCATTTCTCATGTAACATTGGAAATTGCAAGGATTATCCTTTCTTTCAAAACAGTAACATTGAGAACAGGTGTTTGGTACACAATATCTTTCACATATCTGACTGGATTTCTTTTAGTGGGGTTATGTTGGGGGGCCAGGGTGTTGGTTCCCATGGCCAATCCATCATCCAAGAAACAATATATCAAGCAAATTATGTATAGAAATTTTTCAATGAGATGTTGCACTGTCCTGTTGAAACAATACAGTTGGTTATAGATGTTCCAATTGTTATATGATGTAGCATTCCAGAAGATTGTAATAGACTCAGTAATTGTTTGCTCCATGAAGAAGAAATTATTGAACACCTAAAAGCCTTTTGAGTTAATCTCTTTTACCACAAACTACATTTTGATAGACCACTTTGTTTTTAATAAAATTTTACAATAATATAGCTCTTCTTTGGACACCTTATATAATGGCTTATGAGAATATAAGAAACAACTATAACAATAGAAATGCCATTCATTTTAGAAGAATGACATCATCATGGCATTTTAATAACTTCTTATTAATCTTAAATATCCTTCTATATTTTTAAAACATTTTCTGGAATTAAACAATAAAAATGACTATATGTGACTGTACTTGGTACATGAAAAGTGTGGCCATTTCAGTTTAAAATAGCAGTTAAAAATCAGTAACCAATAAAATAATCACTTTTAAAAAATCGTAATTAATTATAATTAAAATGTGATAGATTACAAGAAGTGAAAGTACCCTTAAAAGTTGTCCTGTACTTGAATATTCTTCTTCCGAGAAGTTTAATTCCATATCATCAACATCATTTTCTAAAATATATTTTATTTTTGAAACATAGAGATCTGGATCATCTTGTTCAAAATACTGAAAAAAGAGAGAAATATATTTAATCTGTTATTCATAAAAAAAAGCATAAAAAATATCTGTATATTTAAATATTAATTTAAAAATAATACCTTATAATGAACCCTCAACCCAATTAATTGGGCTAAAAACGATCTTGAAAATCTTGCTTTAACTAATTGTCTATAAGAACTTCCTAAAGCCGATTCGTATAAACATTTTCCAACAATCCTTCCAGCAAATTCGTAATGTTTCAATTTGAGATGAACCGGTCTTTTAGCATTAGGATGAACCTAATATAAAATTTAATTAAAAAACTTAATATTTGTGTTGTACTGTTTGAAAATTTAATCAAATAATCTCATTCATTTACACACGAATCTATATGTTGGCATAACTCACCAACTGAAATATTTCAAGTAGAAACAGATTTCTTCAGAAAAACAAAATTATACAGTGAAAAGGTGACATTGAATATTCCTTCAGAAAAATTCAAAATTTTTTGTGTGCTACTTATGATGCATCAAAGTTTATCCTTCGACATCTCATAGAATGTCATTGGTTGATTAATTTAACTATCTGCATATTTTTCAAAATGTTCAATTAGAATATTTTCTACAAAAATGCTCAATACACCAGAAATTAGGCAACACTATATACCATTAATAAATCTCTAACCTTGAAATTCACTCAATAGAGTGATGTAAGTCCAGAAAAACAATCCTACTGGTTAATTTTTGAGGATTTTAAATTTGGATTTCCTGAATCAGGTTTTAGACATAGACCAAAAACATTTGTTTTTCTGAACTTACATCGCTCTGCTGGGTAAATTTCAAGGTTAAAGTTTTTAACAGTACAGAATATTTTCTGTTAGCTGATAATTAAAAATTTATAATACATCACAAAATAATGCAAAATGCTGAAATTGGACTGCTAAAGTTAGTTGTGTGGAATCCCTAGCAATATAAAAAAGTATCAAACCATTATATAACAGTGCATCAATAAATGACCAGTTGGAGCAACAAGCCCATGTACCTGCTTTTGGTTGGTTAGTTATTGATCTATCCTTATATTCTATATTAAAGTTATATATTTATATTACTTAAGATATTCTGAATTGTAAAAATCAATAATAATTATAGTTTGATATATATCAAAATTATCATATTTCCTCAATTTAAATATTTTTTCCTTCATATAAAAAAAGTCTTAAGTAACCAATTTTATTATCTCAACATATAAATGAATAGTATTGTTTCTCTAACTTAACAAAATTTTCATCAAACAAGTAGTGTTTGGCAGCTCTTCTGTACACAATACTCTTAATGTTAGCTTAAAAAAAGAGTTTTCTAGTAATGAGCATTCAATTTAAAGTTCTTTGAATTGACATGACTATTAAGGAGTATAGCCAAAAACATCTAATATTAATTCATGATTGTATTCATATGGTATATTATGCACCAGTTATAATTGCAATAAATGCTGACTGTTGTTTCAGACAGTGAATATAAGCCATTCATTGTAACAAGCATCTCTATTAAGTAAAACTGAGTAAAAAAGTACATCTGAAAACTGAAGAAATTTAGTATTTATATTTCAATCAAAAATCATAAGGACAAGTGACTCTGATTACAATAAAATTAATATTAAATAGATAAAAATATTTAAAAATTTTCACTTACCAATCCCTGTTTGTCATTTTTGAAACAATGAAACAATTCATTTTCAGGATCGAAAAGAGATGAGCAGATCAGTTCAAACCATTCTCTTCTTAATCCTCCCCAGTCTAACCCTGTTTAAAAATTTAAATCTATGAATTGCTAATAATTTTTAAAAACAAATAATATATAAAAGTATTTTTAATAATGCTAATTTATCTTTTTTTCCCCCCCGTAATTTAAGATGTTATGTGTACAGCACTTAATATCAAAATACGTCATAAATAAAACAAAACCCTGTATATCAACATTAATTAAATTTAATCATAGCAAAATTCTCACGACTCATATGCATCACAAGTACTTTTGGCAGATTACCATTGTTGCCTCCAAAAAAAATAAGAACATTGTGTTAAGAGTTTTTTTAAATTGTTGGAGCATATGCAAATACAGTACCAGACCAAATATTTGGCTTTCAAGAAGGAATTACCAGAAAACTGGCTAGTTTTGAATTTGGAAGACAGTCTTACAGCCGCACAAAAAGTTTTTTAGTTTTTATACATGACGCATGTTCCAGCGTGACTACACTAGCATTCCTTGTTTAAAATATAATACTGTTCTTTATTTTCCATTGTTCACTTTATATTTTAAGTATATATTTAGTCTGCATGTAGAAATCTGGATCACTTCCAATTCCAATCTTGCCAGATGTTTGGTCTGATATCATATAAAAATTTAAAACAAAAAGAAATAACATATCACAAAACTGAGGTTTAGAGATAATTTGAAAAGCAAATAGTAAGTCTTCAAATTTCAGTTTGAAGAATCATAACTCTTCTTAATGTAGCTATAACATTTTAACCAGTGTGAATTGTTTTTATGTTACTATATGTTATGTGATGGTTTACAAAAAGTTTTTGTTGCATTACATTATTAAATTATTATTTATATTCACCTAATCCGTTATTGACAATTGTGATCTTACCAAATACATTTTTTTAGAACATAATACCTGCAACTTGTATTTTTCATCTTTCTAATTAGTTTCATGGAATCTAACTTGAGAAATATATTATGTGATATTTTAATTTTAATATATAAATTAATATGAGTTTTAAAAAACTTAAATTAAAAATTAATTGCATTTAAAACTTATAAAGGTTATATTTACCTTGTTCTCCAAGAAATGTTATTTCAAAGTTTTTACACCAATCACTTATTCCAAATCCTTTTGTGCATTTCATAGACTACAAGAGATATTAACTGTAGATTATTAAAATTATACATTAATCTATTGTTATATTGATAAAGCATCCTTAATTTTAAAAAATATATCATTATTTTGTATAAATATTTATAAAAATAAACACACTATATACAATTTATAATACAGTGGAACCCCGGTTAACGAACGTAATCCGTTCCACGAGTCCATTCGTTAACCGAAGCAATTTTTCCCATAGAAATTAATGCAAATACAATTAATCTGTTCTAGCTGTCAGTATTTTTGTAATTTTATTTGTAAAATAGGTTTTCTTTGATTCTTTTCAAAAAAAAACGGTCCAAACTTTTGCATCAACCCAATATAATTTAATATCCACATGTTAAAAGTGAAAACACTTGTTAAATCGGACCAAAGTTCAGGGAGAAGTAAGGAAAAAACTGTACTGTAGTTGTCAAAACAAACGCAATGCGAAAACAAATGACGTAACGGATCAGGTGGAATGTATGCGGGGAAGATGAAACTATGACAGAAGCGGTCATAAACAGTTGATCTACTTTAAATTTTCGGAAAAGGGGAATGATTTGACAGGTATAAAAACATCGCTTACGATCATTAAAGTTCTAAAATGACAGATAGCAGAAACAATAGGCTAAATTATGAGCAAAAGGCTTATATGTTTATCAACAATCTCCAATCAGAGTCGACGAACAGGTGTCAAATAAACGCCTCGGAACAAACCTTTCTCGTGACTTGATCTGGTTTCAGTTTTCACCTGGAGACAAAGAAGAAAACAATTGGAAAGTGAAGAATGGGACGCAGGACTAATCGTAAAGTGAGATTCAAGGAAGAAATAATATAAAAACCCGGAATCTCAAGGTCAAAATGCAGTTTTCCTAAAAATTCTATGGCAATTAATCTGTGTCGTCTTCATCTGGATTAAGCCTGAAGTCGTGCCCACTAAAATTTGTGTTGTGTCTCGCAGACTACTCCAGTCGTTGCAGCTCTGTCACCTACCATCGCTTCTGTGACCAAGCGAACCCATCTCGTCCGCTCTGGGGCTACGACTGATCAACTTGCACCATCATAGGATCAGCGATACGCCATGCCTCAGTGCCAGGAGAAAACACTGTAAAAAAGCCATTTCCAACCACCTCAAATATATAAGCATCTTCTCGTTCTAATAAACGATTTTCACTGTAAAATACTTGTCATCTTTGTCTCCTCCGCCACCACCAACGTACGAATGGACCCTAGACCATCACCGACACGCAATTAACTGATTTCCCCTAAAAGTCGGCAAGCTTACAAATTTGACACAAAAAGCCATTACGTTCGTTATCCGAGACAAAATTTTTGCAAAATAAAAGTTTGTTAACCGATTTGGTCATTAACCAGGACGTTCATTAACCGGGGTTCCACTGTAAATTATATTCAAATTTAATTATATTAATATAGTTATCTATATAATATTTTTTGATGAATTTTAACTATAAAAAAACTATTTAAACTATGCATTTTAAACTATTAATGTATTTGCAATAGTTTTATAGTTTAAAATACACTTTGGCTTGTCTACCTTTTCCAAACTGTTTTATAAAAACAATAAAAGAAAACCAAAAAAATACAAAAAAGAAATAAGAAACAAATTGAAAAAGCTTCCTCAAGCTTCTTTTAAAAAGTTCTTAATTACAAAATCATTACAAATTATCATATACATTATCAAATTGTTCATAATTACTTAATTCTTTCATTTCATTGTTTAAACCATTGTTTTTTGTTCACAATAGTCTAGTATAGATTATAAAGTATTAAATTTGCTTAAAGATTTTAGAGATTTCATTAGATATTATAAAGAAATTTAATCTGACATTAAACAGTAATATTTTTCCTTCAATATTCAATTTTATCTAAATCTGTGATAATGAATATCTATAGTTCATTGAGACTACTTTATCAAGAACAGTTGTTTACTAATCATAATTGATAAACAAAAATATATTATAATGATATCAAGATAATCAATGTTTTTTTATATTAGAGTGAAATGAACAAAAACCAAAATGTTTTAAAATCTAGTTGTATTTTTTTATACATTTCTTTCTTATGTTTATATAGGAACCACAATGTTGTATAGATCTTTATTTCACAAAACTGCAGCATATTTTTTTTATAAAATCCACTTGCTATTCATCTCCAACAACTTTCATGCAGAGATCATCAGAAATAAATTTTTGCAAAATAAAAAATATCTATAGAAATAGTATTTATTTCTATGATGATTGTTTAAAATAATTAAATAAATATTACTTANATGTTATTTATATATATTATGTCAAGATATGCATCTTGTATAAATTTATGTGACACAGTTTTATACAAATTTTCATAAAAATTATTGGGCTGCAATTTGAAAAAACTTGTAAATCTAAAAATTCCCACTGTCATCCATCTGTCTTTCTTTAATCTCAAGATTAGATGAATGAAATTCAAGACCAGATATTGGCAATTGTAGGGACAGGAGGCCCCTAAATCAATTTTTAATCATATTTTAAATAAATTTAAAATATGATTAAAAATTGATTTAGGGGCCTCCTGTCCCTACAATTGCCAATATCTGGTCTTGAATTTCATTCATCTAATCTTGAGATTAAAGAAAGACAGATGGATGACAGTGGGAATTTTTAGATTTACAAGTTTTTTCAAATTGCAGCCCAATAATTTTTATGAAAATTTGTATAAAACTGTGTCACATAAATTTATACAAGATGCATATCTTGACATAATATATATAAATAACATAAAAATAATGAAAATTATAATATATATAAATAACAATGAAAGGAATTAAAATGTTTAAAATAAAGTCAGAAAATAAGTGTTAAACATTTTCTGACAAAACAATTTTAGTAATAGTTTATTTAGAATATTAAATTAAGAACAATTTTTTAATGTATTGTACCAATTAAATTTTCATTGATCTGTAGCATATAGGTAAAGTCCATAACTTTAAAACTTCAAAAATAAGTAAAATACATTGCATTGCACTTTAATTATTCTCAGGATGGCAGATTCTATTTTTAAACAGGGAAAAAACTGTAGTTTGAAAAGTGATCAATAGATAATGCCAAATGCATTCATAATGAAAACGATTATTATATATTCAGTTACAACAGCAAAAGTCCAACATGACCTTCACCACAAAGTATGACACAAGTGAGGTGAGTGACAATGCCTGACTGCAGAGTGTAGCAAGTTCAGATGAACAAAACTCACTTTAATTAAGCTGAATGGCATCTTTTGGATCCCAACAGTGTGAAAGGGCCTGATTAATACAATCTAGATTTTAAATATCCTCACAACCAGAAATAAACTGGTGTCAAATCTGGAGGCAATGAAATCTTGCATTGCCTAATAATAAGACCATCTTCACCAAATGTTTCAATCAGAAATTTCTTTACTAGAGAAATGACAAGAGATGGTGCTCCTTATCCCCATCCTGTATAAATATGACTGTAGGCAGTGCTATCTCATAGAGAGACCACAACTTGCTCATGCAGCTGTGTCAAATAACACCAAACATTCAACATGGTATTCTTCCAGCTAATTTTTGGACAAAACTTTTCATAGAAAAAAGTTTTTCAAAATGTATTAGGCTGAAAAGCCACACTAAACTGTCACTTGTGGTGAAAGAAATGGCTGCACTATGTATGCATGTGCATTAGAAAGCTGCTCATAAGAAACAGATGTGTTGTATGTTCATTTGTCCATGTACTGAAAAGAAGGTTTATCTGTCCAAAACACAGTTTACAACCACTATGATTCCTGCATAATATTTGATAAAGCCATGTGGAAAATGTTTTTCCTTCTATGCAGTATCAGTCAATAACAGCTGGTACAATGAGTGCAATTTGTACGGATAAAAATTTCAGATACTATAAAAGATGTTTCATTTGACTTTCACGGAATAAATGTATACCAAACTTGGACAATCGATTCATCAAGAGAGGATGCCTCCCAGAAGGACTTTCAACGGGAAAATGGTCCCTAACGTAACCTCAATTCAACTTTTTTCAGATGATAAATTTTTGTCAGTGTCATATATTGATCAGTTTTTCCTATCAAAAAAATTCCATCCTACCTATAGTGAAAAACCACACTTCAGTGAAATGCTTTCATTCATTTTTTTATGAATTTTTAAAGTTTTTATGGAGTTTTGGTTGATTCAAATAATGACAAATTGAAAGAAGATAAAATTTTGAAAGTTTTAATATAGTTTTCTAGGGTAAGTATATAACAAAAATAAGGAAGATGTGGCGGTACAACATATAAAAACAGTAAATAGAGAATAGTTCACACTTTTATTTTCTTCTTAATTTTTAAATAAATAAAATTGTGATTAAAGATTAAAACTAAGCAAAGAAAACTGTCTCAAACTTATTATTATAATTTTTGATTAACATTAAAATGTTTATAAAAGAATCAAATAGAATACTTACAGAATCTAATAATTTTTCTCTTGAAATTTTCAATGAAAGTTTATCATGGAAATGCTTTTGATGAAGTTTGCGAATTTCATGATAAAAGAAATCTTGCTTATCTTTAAATGTTTCCGAACCACCTAATGAATAACATTAAAGAATATTATAATATATTATTACATAAAACTTTTTCAATTATTAAATTCAAAGACAAATGACTTAATCATGCTATGAATTACTTCACAAAAATATTTGAAAATTCAATATTTGTAAATGTAATAAATAATTTTTCATTTCTAATAGTTTAATGTGGAAAAGTATTTTTAATTTTTCAATTTAAATATTTTGAACTATATATAAGTTCATCATTAAATATAAATTACATTAAATTTACTTAAAATATTTTCTCAGAAAGCTTTTGTATTTTAATATTTTTTAAACAAAGTAAATTAATGGTTTTATTTACATTAAAAAATGTTATGAAAATTTGTATCTTTTAAATTATTATTCACAGATTTTCAGTTTAATTAAAAGCTTAATTGTATATTATGAAGGTAAAAAGATTTCCTACAGAAAACATCAATGAACAATATTAGATCTAACAACTTAACCTAATTACTTTTTAAAATTATAATAGTAATACTTGGATACTTCTATATGCTTTTTGAATTTTACAAAGGCTTTCTAAAAACAAATATTTTTAGAAACTCACCTATATTGAATTTAATAGAAAGTTTCAATAAAATATATTTTAAAATAAGTTTGTAAATTGTTAAGATGATACCAAAAATTAATATACTTTGGATTAAAACAAAGCAGCTGCATTTTTATATAATATAAGGACCTTGAATTAGTTCTCACTGTTTTTTTGTGAAAATTAACACTATTTAAAAAAGTTGTAATAAACACGTCACTGAAAGTATTGTCCATTGCTAGCCACTACTTTCTCCCATCGTTCTGGCAGCATTTGAATTCCATGTCGGAAAAACGACACGTCTTTTGAGGCTATCCAAGAATCAACCCATTTTTTGGCATCTTCATAAGAATGGAAGTGCTGCTCAGCCAGGCCATGTACCATCAATCAGAACAAATGATAATCCGAAGGGACGATGTCTGGTGAATACGGCGGGTGGGGTAGGACTTCCCATTTAAGCGTTTCCAAGTACGTTTTCACCGGTTGTGCAACATGTGGCCGAGCATTGTCATGTTGCAAAATCACTTTGTCGTGTCTCTGCTCATATAGCGGCCGTTTTTCCTTCAATGCTTGGCTCAAACGCATCAATTGTAGTCGATAGCGATCTCCCGTGATAGTTTCGTTTGGTTTGAGCAGCTCGTAATAAACTACACCTAGCTGATCCCACCAAATGCAGAGCAGAAGCTTCGAACCATGGATATTCGGCCTTGCTGACGATGTTGATGCATGACCGGGCTTACCCCACGATTTTCTACGCTTAGGGTTATCGTAGTGTATCCATTTTTCGTCACCCGTCACGATACGATGCAGAAAACCTTTCCTTTTCTGCCGTTGAAGCAGCTGTTCACATGTGAAAAGACGCCGTTCGACATCTCTCGGCTTCAACTCGTACGGCACCCAATGTCCTTGCTTTTGAATCATTCCTAATCCTTTTAAACGTTTCGAAACTGTTGTGTGATCAACTCCTAATGATTCTGCAAGTTCAGCTAGCGTCTGACATGAGTCTTCATGAAGTAATGCCTCTAATTCCTTGTCTTCAAACTTTTTTGGTGCACCAGATCGTTCTTTATCTTCAACATCAAAATCATTATTTTTGAAGCGTCTAAACCAATCTCTGCATGTTGTTTCCAACAGAGCATGGTCGCCGTAAGTCTCAACAAGAATTCTGTGTGCTTCAGCTGCATTTAATTTTGAATAAAATAGTGCAATAAAATTCCCCACAAATACTCTTTTTTTGGCACGAAACTAGACATGTTTAGCACAATTAAAAAATAAGTTGTTTACACTTCAGTGAAATGACAAATACTGAATTTCTAGGTCACTTATTGTACTTCCTTACAGATGCGTCACCATCTAAAAATAAACACACGTGGTTCTGGTAACGCCATCTGTTAAAGAACAGCGAGAACTTGTTCAAGGTCCTTATAAGTAATATTAATATTTTGGAAAATAATTATATTGAAAGTTTAAATTGAATGCAATCTGTTTAACTTTTATAATAATAAAGAATTACTAATAAACATTACAATTTATACTCTTTTCTTTCCTTTATTTTATTATACAAAAGAACAAAGCAATTTGCTTTGCAGAATAACCATTGTCATATACGATATCCTCTTTTGTAAAGAAAAATTCATATAATTAGAAATAGAAAATAATATGAAAATGCATTTCATATAATTATTTTTTATATCATTTAATATAAAATTTTATTAATTTAAATAGTTTTTAAATAAGCAAATTTTGATATATTACCTATATTTTTCAATAAAAATTGTGTGAAAGTTGCTGCAATAACATTTCTTTGTTTCGAAATTAATTCTACTTGCGGTTGGCAGCCATCATCTATTACTAAAACTTGCTCCCCCTGACAGTTATTTATACTTTGAAACTGAAACTAAAAAAGCAAATACTGTTTTTTATAGAATAAAATTATGTTCACCGTATATAGAGTAGACCAAAAGTAACAAAGCATTAAATTTAGTATATACTGATGATGGAATGTATCTTACTTAAATACTCTTAAATACTATTAAAATTGAGATCTACAGTCATTTATATTATAGTGCAAGCACGTTTACCCTCAATCTTATCCTGAAGTTTAGTATCACACTTTAAAGAGCATATTGCTCAGAGTACTAAAGAGTTTATGCTCAATGAATAACCTTCTACTGGTACATTCTATCTTTGAGACAGCCTCATAGAAGGAAGTTGTAAGAAAATACGCAAGTCAGTCAATTCTACATTGATGATGCTTTCCAGAAGCAAAGGGTCTATAAAGCTCAAGGCAAACAAATTGAAAATTTTGTAATGTAAATGATATTTGTGTATTTCGCACTGTTCAATTGAAATAAAGCATTTCAAACTTGATAAAAATAATTTTGGTCCACTCTATATATGTGTAACATTAAAAATCAATTTTTAATTACAGCTAAAAAAAATTTCATAAATTACTTAGTGACATTTTGTATATTCTAACTACAAATTATTTCTTTAATTTTCATTAAAAATATTGTTTTTTTATAAATTAGAAAAGTAAATTATGTAAATTTAAAATTGTTATGATCTTTGTAACTTGTCTTACCTTTGTCGAAGGACAAAGACGAAAGGTTATTAATCGTTTATGAATGATTTTCAGAAAAACTTCTTTAATTGTCAATTGCTATAAAAAATAAATAACTTAATGTTGCAATTTTATTATTAATAGGAAAAATGATAATAATAATATATAACTAATATGATATAATTAATTGCTAAAATATATAAACTTTTAATTCACAATTAGTTTACCTTTGGAGAGATATAACACAACACTTTCTTTGGCTTTTGTAATTTGTCGCCATCATATGCAATCAGACATGCTTCGTACCAAATATTATGACTTTTCTTTGCCACGTTCTTTCGGACAAGATTGGAATCAGCTTCTAAAACAAAAATTTATTAAAATCCATTTCCAGAATAAAATAAAATACAAAGAGTATAAACTACAGCACTCAGGATTATCATCATTATTGAAGAATTAGAAAACTATATAGGAAAACATGTAATTTTTTTTCAAGCGTTTTCTTATCCTTTTACAGTCCATTTCAGACGTAATAGCAAAAAGAGAATGAAAAAAAAAAAACTTCTAATTCTTCAAAAATACAGAGTGTGTTTGAAAAGTTTCAGTATTGGGTCAAAAACTCTTAACTATAATTTTGATGCCTTTGCAAAAAACTCTTAGAGTCCCTGTCAATTGATGAGAAATTAAAATTGTAATTTTTTCAAGAGTTTTTTTCCATATTGCATGAAAATTCTTTCTTTTTCAGGCTTTATTTTACAATTATGTAATTTTAATAATAATATTATTATTTAGTTTTAAAAAAACATCAAAGTGGCATGGGGGTTGCCCACATTGTATAGTTATGTGGAGCCTAATTACACTACTGCTGAAAACATGCTGAAATATAAAAGAATTCGTTTAATATTTTTCAATCCATTCATGAAACTGTTTTTGCACACAATGTAAGTACTTAATTTGAAATTTAACTTAAACATATTACAACTACAGTATTTCAAATAACATTGGATATTGATAATGCAAATTTGGATTAACATTCTGCAATGTTTATATCAAATAAATTAATTAAAATAATGATTTAAAAATTAAACCAACACTTCTTAGCTCTTCAGTGGTGGACTTAATCTAAAATTCAGTGAACCTTAATACCAGGAATCTAAAAATTTTTCTATTTTAAAAAAGAATTGCAGTAAAAAAGTTTAAGAAATGAAGTATTAACTAGGCTAATATAAAAATTTCAACTAAAGTAGGACTATTTAAATTTTTAAATTCAAAATATAATTCATCTAGATTAAACAAAATTATAAGCCACTAAGAATTAAATTTCATGGGAATTGCTTTGCAATTTTTTTTATTTGCTATCATCATATTATATCAAGATTATTTCACATAACCAATATATTACACAATGTGAGATATTGCTTATGTGAAATAATGCATTAAGTTAAAAGTCAAATCTAAAATAACCACTTTTGCCTTTCGGTCATCTTATTAAGACAACAATCTACTGCTCCGGGAGCCCAGAATGAAGTAACAATGAAAAATGATGTGTTTATATAATACTAAATTAAAAATTACTACACTTTAAACCAGCATAAAAATTTAATAAACAAACATTTTCAATGTTTTAAAAAGTCTTCATTGGGTTAAGTACATCAAATCGTAATAGAGAGAAATTCAGAGTTGAAATCATACAAATTTACTAAGATGTGGAGCATTCCCATTGGGGCTCTCAAATAAACTTTCATTAGCACTTCTTTACTTAATTTTTAAAGGTTAAAAATGTTTGTTTATGCTGGTTTTAAGATCTATGCAACTTGCTTGTTATTGTGGTACCAATTTACGCTGATATAAATAAATGAAAAGATAACACTATACAAATATTTTTGAAGTTTTTAAAGTCTAAACTAAGACCTTTTCAGTTAAAAAAAACATTTAATTTTATTTGAAATGCAATGTTAAGAAGCAATATAAGTTTAATTCTTTATTCATAATAATATTCAATGCTGTACATGGAAATGAATGGAAATCAAAAACATTTGTTTTATTGATAAATATTGCCCTTTTTACTGGATTTTTGGTGTTTTGTAGTTAGTTACTAGTAAACAAACATACTCCAGTTTTCAATATATTTATATGACTAACATTTTCAAGGGAACAAACTCACAAAAGCAATCACATTAAAGATATGCCAGATAATTGTGTGTGTACTGTATGTAATAATATAACTATTTCAGTTATATAATTAATGTAATTTATATCATATAATACTAACATAATTCTAAATGTATTTGTTGAAGTTAATAATAATTATAATGTATTTGAATAATTTAAATTACATTTTTTTTTCTGTCATTTCTGAGAAATGCCTAATAAATGACAAAATGCTAATCATCTTTTTATATTGATTCTTTTTGATTCAATGAACTGTTAATAAACTAGTTCTTACATCAAGAAAGAATTACAATTAATATAGCATGAAGAAATAACAATGATAAATTATATAATTTATGAAATTAAAAATCCAGCAACAAGTTGCTTAGCTTTCCTGGCAACATTTGATGGTGCCATCTGTTTCAATATTTTATTAAAAAACTTTTTATATTTTTAATTAAATGGCAAAAAACTTAATTTTGAGGGTATGCATGGGTTCTTTTAAAAAATTATAAATGCTAATAACGAGTAAAATCATCATTAAGACCCACTCGAGATATGACACAACTCCCTTTATCTCCTCACCCCTTTGACTTTTAACCACCAAAATTTAATAGCATCAATCCCACTAATACACAAACCTCCCTGCAAAATTTCAGAAAATTTCGACAAAAAGCAGAGAAGTTATTAAGCTTCAAAGATGGTGAACAAAATCATGCCCCCCACACAAACATCCATACATACAAAAAAACCCCCAAATTTTTTCGCATTTCTTGCATTTCAAGGTTCTCTGTGTCCAAAAATGTAAAATCTAGGGGTCATGTTTTGACCAATAGCCATACTTTCCCTTTGTTATATAACAGCTGGGAAAGTAAAAATAAAAGTATTTTCTAAATATACAGTCAAATCCCTCTATAGCGATAATTTGTGAAACAAGAAAAATCTTGTAGAGAAATTTATTGTTATAAACACACAAACAGCTTATAGAACTGTATACAGTTCAAATAAACACAATAACATCAAAAATCCAGGAGCAAAAACACACTTTAATACCAAACAAACATTTTTAATTGTTCTAAATGGTCATCCTGGGATTTTAACTTATTAAATTTGAACAAAGATAATAACTAGAACACTATTTTTAAACAAAAAAAAACATTAATTTTATTGGACAAAACAAGAACATTTGTTTGCCTATTAAAGTGTTTTTTTGTTTTGCTGCTGGATTTTTAGTGTTAATGTGTTTATTTCATGGTTATAATCAGAATTTTATAAAAAATATCTCCTTCCTCATTTAACACTAACATTGTTAGACAAATAAGATAATATGAAGGTCAAAATGATATAACAGAAAAACATGTAGTATTATTAATCTCTTCCAGTACAAGATCTAAGTTATTTTATTACACATTATTTCTGCAGTATACATGTTAAATACTATATCATACATAACCTCAACTAGATGTAAATACCAATATGCCAACAAAACTAAAAGAAATAAAACAAAAACAAATGTTTTCTTCTGTTTTAAATCGTCACTCTCAGATACAAAGAACATTTAGGCATTCTTCAAATCTGGAGGATGACCATTTAAAACAGAAAAAAGAAATATAACAAAAAACATTTTCATTTTTTCTGGTTTATTGGTATTTATGTCTAATTAGGCTATTTATATTAATTTACATCAGTAGTTTTGTAGAGATTGTGTTAAATATCAAAATCAGTCAGAACCTGAATCTTCCTAAGCAATAACTAAAAATGATGTACTTATAAAAATTGATTTACTGCATTATCATCATTATAGAGAAGAGAAAATACTGTGTATTTTAGAAGTACAGTAAAAAAAATGTATCATTAAACAGATTTATCAGACTAGAGGATATAATTCAGTCAGGAGAAATTTTGCATTAAGATAAGAAATATAGTACACTATGCAATTCATATTATCGTCGTAGAGGGATTTATACTTATATCAATAATTACCATATCAAGATTAGACTGTATCATAATAATCTTACTATTGAGCACAATAATGTGAAAATCTCCATTTTTTAAATTTGCACCCTTATAAGACACTATGGTTTTGTAGCATCCGGCTTGTTCCATTTTTAGGATCAATGCTATACGTGACGATTCAGAGTAACACTCCCATCTTAATGGTAGAATCACTGGTCTTTCGCTATTTACCTTATTTAATAAATAACAAATTAATCAGAAAATGATATACTAAACTATATTTTTATATTATTTTATTTGATAAAATTAAGCTTACTTCAATTATATCTACACTATAATCACAGCTTGGATCTGCATTGGGCTTGATGGAGCAAAGATTGTTATATTTATCTCTAGGCTCGATGAAAAGATGATAAGGTACACCTTCTGTACAAACAACTGTTGAACAATGATGAACAAATCCGGTTTTATTCGGATCCGGTAAGCCTATTTTTAAAATCAAAAATTCAAATTTTGTAAAATCTTTGAAATTATCAGCAATGAAAAAAATATAATTAAATACATTTTTTCATTGTTATAATGCTATTCCCAAAAAAAATTACAATAGGAAAAATCATGATAATTATATTCAATATTTCCTTAATTATTAATCCAATATTTCTTTTATTAATTTAGAATTAAATTAACAGAGTTGAAAATATTTAAAGCTAATATTAAATAATTGGTTATTTTTATAATTATTTTAATCAATCTAGTCAACCAGTAAAACTGTAGATATGAATGAGTGGTTGAGACTTTATCAGAACTGCATACCATGCCTGTAGGAGTAAAAAAGAAAAAGGAACTAACTGCACATGAGCTTTCTTGAGATATAGCCCCACAATATTGGCCTATCGGAATTTTGAAGAACCTCAAAAATAAGGTAAATTTAAAAGTGAAAAAATTTGAAATTAATTCTCAAAACAATACTAAAAATCAACCATTTTCTGCTTTACTAGAGATGGCTAAAAACTCATAAAACATGGGAAATGCCATAGCACCAACTATTTCTGGCAAACAGTCAGAGTTGCACTGCATGCTCCATTACGCCCGTCTATGACCATGCCCCAGAAGTAGTCAATGCAATGGCATTTTCCATGTTTTATGAACTTTTAGCCATCTCTAGTAAGCAGAAAATGGTTAATTTTTAGCATTGCTTTGAGAAATACTTTTGGATGTTTTCAGTTTTAAATTTTACTTCATTTTTGAGGGTCTTCAAAATTCCAGATAGGCCGATTTTGTGCAGCCCAGGAAGTGTCACACTAGACCAGCATTTTTCAAATTTTAATGCGACCCAACATTGATTGCATTAAAATTTTAATGGATTATAAAATGATACTACCTTATGCAGAAATACTTGTAATACTTGTATTACCAAAATATTCTCTAAGAACTAGGAACAATAGTTGCATTTAATAAATGCATCTATTGTTCCTAGTTCTTAGAGAATATTAGTACTGAAAATCTTTAACAAGTTTTTTCTTATAATTATTATTTTTGTCATTTAGTAATAAAATTAAGATTGTGGAATGTGTGTATACAAAATTGATTTTTCTTTTCTATTTTGAATAACATCAAAATACATATTTTATGTAAGGTTGTGGTCATAAAGCCATTTAAGTTGCAATAGTTTTGAAAATATTTTCTTGTTTATTCAAACTTTTACTTTATTATGTGTCATACATTGCAATAAATTATGAAAAATAAATAACAGAAGAATCTTGGCACAAGTGGATCAATAAATAATCTTTTTGTACATGTACAAAATGAAATTGACCAAAATCTTACAATCTGAAAAGTGAAAAGTACATTTTAAAGAATGATTTTTTAAATTTATATATATATATAAACTTGCAATATTTTTAAAAGTAAAATAGACTCTGGAATAATTTTGAAACAGTATTTTATTTACTATCATCACTCTTACATTTTTTGATAGTTAAATTTCAATAATAAAAACTGAAATTGAAGTAAGTTATTTGTTGCAAATCAAATTTGGATTTTGTTATATAATATACAGTGACTCCAGTTTTTAAAAAACTTGGTAAATTTGATATAAACATTTGGATCACAGAACCATTATAAACAAATATATTGGGTCACACAAGCAAAAAATTTGAGAAATGCTGCACTAGACCATAGGTTTCTTTGGCTTTTTCACACTCTTACAGGAATGGTCTACAGCTCTGTAAGGTTCACTCCCTAATGAACCTACCACCTCAGTCAGAGCTATGTTTGTTTCCATCATCATTTTGCTCAGCACTATAACATATAAGGCATAAAATAAACATGCTTATTTGCTATAGTAATCAGATATATTAGCATGGTAAATTTCCAAATTAATACATCTAATTCATAAAGAATGGTAAATGATGATTACAGCTCAGAACATACATATCAATACAAAAACATTATTTAAGAGCTAGAAGAAATAATATATATAACTTACCGGGAAGAAATATTTTTACAAAAGGACTTCCACGAATATGGACCGTTCCGACAAGAATAGATATGTAATATTCGCCGGCCCTTCTCACACTAAAATGAATTTGTGCTTTATTTGCATCGTTAGGATTAATTCCTCCAAACTCAACGCTGCAAGCTACTTTGTGACTGCCTTGAGTGATCTCTACTAATATATTATCTTTGCTGCATACTGGATAAGAATGACCATTTCGTTGATAGAACTGAAATTAAAATGGTTATAATCAGTTTATAAAATAATGAATTTTAACATCAAATTACATTTTTCATATTTGTCTGAAATAACTTCATACACTAAATACATATTTTTAATTGTAACCTATAAATGAATTCGTTAAGATTCTTATTTCTGATCAAATACTTCACATTATAATGCCTATCTATATGAATATATATAATTTGACTGATTGAAAGATAAACACTATCACAAGACATTATGTTTTGTTACCGTGCATTTTTATCAAGATTGGAGTAAAAGATCATTACATTTTTACCACTTCCGACACCATGTATCCAATTTATATTATGTTTAATAATAATTCCTATATATTGCATAAAGCAATGTTAATACAGTACAATATCCTTAATTAAATTTAAAATATGATTTTCTCAATTCTAAAATGCAACTTTTATTCAGTTTTGCTTGTCCAAAGTAAAAACTATTTCTTAGAATTGATGGCGTCTTGCATTCACAGTTTAAAACAATAACCAAAAATAATTGCAAGTAGAGCACATGATGCATTATGTATTAATAATAGGCATTTTTGACTACTACTAAGTCACATCAACTTCAGTCAAGCATTACTGATAAAAAGAAGTTTAAGTTAAATGCTTGTTATCATTACAATGTGACATTCAAAAAAAGAAAGATTATTTCCTTGCTCTTTTATATGTACAATAAGCTTATAGACATTACCTGTTTCATGCTATTTATATTGTTTTTTCAACTTAGTGAAACTTTAAAAATTTTTCCCTTCTTAAAAGAATTCTTTATGCACCTTAGAATTGAAGAAATATGATATAGAAAAAGTACTTTCACTTTTTTAGTAAGGATTCATCTAAAACTAAAACATTCTAAAAATACTTATATATTTTTTAGTCTTCTCCATAATTTTTAATTGTTATATAAACTAATGAATCAACAAAATACTTTTTGATATATCTTTAATTTAAAATAAGCTTAACTTTGCTTTTATTACATTTTATTTCCTATCCATTGCTGCATCATTTTTTATACATGTATTCATTTCATAATTTATTTTTATTTAATTCTCATTACATGTCTATAAACGAAATGTACTGTAATTATTGTTAATTACAGTAAATTAAGAAAATAATGAATTTAATAATTTGCAAAAATAACATAATTAAGTATTTTTAGTATATTTTAGTATATTTTACAATAAAAATTTTAATTTATATGCAAAAATATTTCATATGCTACTTATACAAACATAAGAATTTTAAAGGTTTACCTTGACAATAAAAGTCATAGTACTACCAACTACTTGAGGATCCGTCCAGTCGAACTCCACCTTACAATTCTGCGGTGCCAGATACTTTCCCGTGACATATGCGAGAAAACCGAGCTTGGTGACGGCAGCAGAATGATCAAGCAGCAGAGATGGTTGGGACACGGTAGATGCCATGCCCACCAATATAGCAATAACCACAGACAAAGTAAGCATTGTACCTATTTGAAAATAAATGTACTAATTTAAAGTTTTTTTTTTAATTATATACTTCTTAAAAGTTATTTTAAACAATTAATTTTATAACACAAACACGTAAAACAATTGTTTTATCATGTCTGTAATTTGTTATGCTCTATTATAATATATTTTTGTTTGATCACAGAGTATAACCCACAAGAAGTAATGTGAGGAGATTGACAATGCTCGGACTTAACAAAGCATGGCTAAGTCACAGTGTCAACAAATCCACATTCTTCACACTACTTCTCATGAGTTCTATTTTTATTTAATCACCTGTTAGTTTTTTTAAATAACTTATGCTATTTTATCATAATAGTTACCAATGCCAAACGCTCCAAAAATCAAAGTGAATCAAATAGGTTTAACGTTTACATCATCGCCATAATAAAAATATAGTTCAACACATACCACTGTATAGTTCTTAACAATTATAGTTTAAAGCTATAGGCAACCAAGCTCAAAGTGTTCTAATAACTAAACGATAACACTGGATTGACTCTAATCTGGGTTAACCATCAGGCTAGAGAGTTAAAATTTAATTATACAGTGTAAACCAAAGTGTAATCTGTGTAAACCAAAATCACATGGTACCAAATTATTTTCTCTATTTTTATCTTTAAACTACACTAAATAAATGTTGCAGAGTTACATTTATTTTTATAGTAAAATCATTTTTACATATGTAAAAAAATTTTATTGCTAGGTTCACTCCAAAGTAATTCAAACTAAAAAATGGGAGTGTTTGAATGCATAAGTTGAAAACTATTCTATTGCAAAAAGTTCATGTTCCCAAGAACTTGTGCTAAGCATCAAATACTTCTTGGGTTCACTCCTTATGAGCTTGTCACAAGAAACAAGACAAGTAGAGTATCAAAAATTAATGTCTTGCACTGCTATTGGAAATCCTAATCACATTACAGTATGATCTCTGTACAGTAATACAGAAACAAAGTTCTATGAAATGTCTTCTCAAGAATTTTAATACTCTAATTAATCATTTAGTTTAATCTCTGTAATCAGCAACATATTGTGTATTCAAAAACAAGTTGATTAATATTAGTTAGTTACTAACTACTCCATACAAGAAAGCTGGGAGCACCACGTTATCTTATTTCACTGTTTTCACAAATTATATCTGTTGCTTGTTCTCAGTAACTTGATTCTTAAAAGCATTTGATTTTGCCCTTAGTTAATTCTAACAAAGACTAATATTAACAAAGATATCTTCATGTCTATTCTGTAGAAAAGATTAAAATCACCAGGAACAACAGTCTTCCATTGCAGAGATGACCTTTTATTAGAGACTGAGCCTCTACAAAACAACATTTTAGAACATGAAAACATTTTTAGTCTTTTCTACAAAATTATTTTAATGTGTAAATTTGTCACCCATTTTTTAAAAATACCTTCATGTCTGTTGTTCCCTTGTCACATGACCTTTGTTTCTCTGACAAGGTTTGAAATCATTCTCGAAATACAGTTTGTCATTCTGTATAAAGACCATTATACTTGCAGACAATTTTGCTTATTTGTCTACAGTTTGATTTAAGCATAAATAGTTTCCACTGTGAAATATTCTTTTATAATAAATAATATATGTTTTGAGCATAGTTATATAAAATTCAATTGTGAAAATTATTTTAGTATTGAATTTTACACTTTATTTTTAATTACATTTTAATAGTTTATTATTATAAATAAAACTTGCATTTTAAAATATTGTAAACATTTAAAAACATTGAAGTAAATATTCAAATAAAAACTGGTAATAGCTTTGGTATCTATGTAAGCTTGCCGACTGTTAGGGGATCAATTAATCCTGCATCAGGATGCACCTAAGGGATGTTCACATGTGGGTGTGGTGAAAGAGACAAATGATGACAAGTGTCTTACAAAGTTAAAAAGCCATTTATTTTGTAGCATTTATGCTTACATCAATATTAGACAGTTCCCAAATCTCAGTGTTCCTTTGGAGTGGGAAGAGTTTCGGTCTATTGGTCATAGTCCCGGAGCGGAGAAAAAGGGTTTGTTGGATGGATGCAGATGATCAGTGAAGATGCGGCAGCATCCTATGTGGTCAATGGCAACACAATACAACTTACTGAGCACGACTTTGGGCTTAATCCAGAGGAAGACAGTTCTTCGACCTTGAATCACCGATTTTTATAGTTTTTCTCCCGCTTTCCACATTTCTGATCGGCTCCACTTCTCCACCCCGAGGCTATGACCAATAAATAGACCAAAACTCTTCCCACTCCAAAGAAACACTGAGATTTGGGAACTGTCTAATATTGATGTAAGCATAAATGCTACAAAATAAATGGCTTTTTAACTTTGTAAGACACTTGTCATCATTCCTCACTTCCCAATTGGTCTCTCCTTTGTTTCCAGGTGAAAACTGAGTCCTGATCGAGTCACGTGAAAGGTCCAATTTGAGGCGTCTATTCGACACCTTTTCATGGACTATGCCCAGAGATTGTTGATAGAACCATAAGACTTGCACTTATAATTTAGCCTGTTGTTTATGATTTCTGTCATCTTGGAACTTTAATGATCATACTCGATGTTTTTTTATTCATCAAATCTTTCCCCTTTTCTAAAATTGTTTTCCTACATCAACTGTTTATGAGCACTTGTGTCAGAGTTCTACCTCTTCCAACTGACATCCCATCTGATCTATTATATTATTTGTTTTCGCATTGCATTTATTTGACAGTTACAGTTTTTTTTCCTCTCCTCTCTCTTACATAACTAACATCACCTTTGATCCAACTTGACAATAGCGTTTTTGCTCCTAACATGTAAAAATTAAATTTTATTTTGACCCATTCTGGAACCTCATGCTATATTTTGTTTTTGAACAACTGCAGCCGGTATTTGTGAATCTTTTGGCGAGACGAAAATATAGGAAGCCATTCATTTAGACATTCTTTATAATTTGTAACTAATTTGATTACATTGTACAGTGGAACCCCGGTTAACGAACGTCCTGGTTAACGACCAAATCGGTTAACGAACTTTTATTCTGCAAAAATTTTGTCTCGGATAACGAACGTAACGGTATTTTGTGTCAAATTTTAGTTGGTGTTAGGCATGCGCGAGTTAAGTATTGCTTTTCCGAGTGTTTGTGCTATACAGTCATACCCCAGACTTACGCGATAGGTGGGACCGAGCGATAACCGCGTAAGTCAAATTCGCGTAAGTCGGAGTATAATTTTGCATATAAATACATACAAATTATTTTTAATTGGGACCGGAGACTAAAGAAAACAATAATTTAGAAAAAAATGTTTAATAAAATCTTAGATAATACATATTTATAACAAATTAGGCCTATATTATTTTACAATTTTTCACATTTACTTGATTATTACACCATAATTTTAACATTGTTTCCATCTCAGCGATAATACCGTGACGTTTACGAATGATGCTTGAATTTAAAGATTGAGCATTTTTTACAGCTTCGAGAATTTTTTCTTTACCTTTTATAATTGTTCTGACCGTCGATTCCGGTAGATCAAACTTCTTTGCCAATTCACAAATTTTCATTTTTGTATCGAAGTCTTTAATAATGTTAACTTTACATTCCAAAGATAAAGTTTTTCTTTTCTTGTTTGATGCAGAAGAATCAGTTCTACTTCGTTTGGATGACATAGTAGAGTGTTAAGATTAATCATATTCGTTATTGTAAACCGCGCTTAAGTTAGGCGCCATCTGTTCATTTATTTTGTATGTCCGACGATCAAAAGACCGCTTGGGATCGAGTCTGTTTATAATTTGAAAGGTAATCTTGTCAGTTGTATATACAAAAGGTAAATTGTTTACAAAATGAGTCTTTGTTTATTATCTGATAAATGTATACTTTTTTCGTCAATTGTTTACGATTGCAGATGCCTTTTGTGTAAAATCCAAGTCGGATGTATGTAAGCTAATAAATGTTCTCGTTAATCTTATCTCGCCTTTTGGTTCGTTCACGGTTACAAGAAATCACCACATAGAGTCTCTCGAGTCTCCGTAGATATAAAAAACAAAAATAAATTACACAAAATAAATTGTAGCTATGCGTCGATTCCGCGCAACACGTCCGAACATGTAATCCGAACAATAGTGTGGGGAGAGTGAGTAATCAAGGGTTGCATGGCGCTCAAACAAAAGACGAATCGACGAGATTTGAAAATCGCGTAACTCCGGGTTCGCGTAAGTCGGGGTAGCGTAAGTCGGGGTATGACTGTACTTCTTTTCTCAGTTTTGTGATTTATATATTTAATCAATATGGCATCAAAGAAAGAAAAAAAATCATAGTGGCAATAGAAAACGACAACGCGCTATCGCATTTGAGAAAAATTTTGATTAAAAGAGTAAGACAATCAACTTTAGATCAATTTCTTGTTCCTTACGGTAAGAGTTTGTTTGTTTGTTAAGTTATGGCAAAGCAACACTTGGGCGATCTGCCTAGGGGAATGCCTTCTGGGAGGTGTTTTTAAGGGAAACTGGCCCCTATTTAGGCGTTACAGACGTGGAGAAAACCCGGAAAACTCCACGTGGCCAGCCCGTCTGAGCGAGGTGCGAACCCACGAACGAACTCCCCGTGTTCAAGGTACGAAGACCACTTAGCCACTGGTGGGTTTTTTTTACCGAAAGAGACTTCGACTCGAAGAATCTTCCGATGAAGTGCTACCCGTTATTTTTTTGGAGGGGATTCCCCTTCTAAGCATTAAGGTTCGTATATCTCCACTTTTCTGCCACCAACTACAACAAACGAAGGTATGTACAGTGCTATTTTATTAAACAAAGTTTACATGTTTGTTGCTGTAATGATAGATACTACGTTTTCCTACATTTTCATCAAAGAAAATTACTGTATATTACAAATAAAATCACAAAAATTTCGGAGACTAGAACGGATTAATTGCATTTGCATTAATTTCTATGGGAAAAATTGCTTCGGTTAACGAACAACTCAGTTAACGAACGGAGTCGCGGAACGGATTAAGTTCGTTAACCGGGGTTCCACTGTATTTCATTAAAGTTAATATTTTCAGTACAGTTTAATATAATTTCGTTAGTTCAATTTTGGCTACATAAAATTCAAATTAAGCTTATTTTATAATCTAACTTACCAAGTCTCCATGGTTTTCTTTGTTCTTGTAGAGCCGAATCCCAGAGTCCTTTAGTCAGCTGGTCCAATCCATTTTCGGACGAAGGGAGCGTGGAGACAGCCGACAACCATTCGCCCCAAAACGTGATTCCGAGCGTGTCCTGAAACTTTTTGTGGTCCCCTTCCAAATGAAGCCTTTGAACGTCTTTAAGATTTGTTATGCCTAAACCTATTAATCTAAAATAAGATTTTAAAGATAAATGTAAAAAAACATTGAATGTTTTAGAATTTTATGCAAAAGAACATAAATAAAAAAATTAGCAAACTGATATGCAAGTGAACTAATATAATTATTAAAATTACAAATATTAATATTAAAATATGGACAATCTTGTGGACCAAAGCATCTAAGAATGTTCCTGTTACTCTGAAGATTCCAAGTTCAAACATTTGCAAAAATTTTCATGGTAATTGGGTTTGGTTATGTTAAACCCTATCCCTCACCACCAGCAGGTATGGAAAAAAAGACTCTTGCTGGCCACAGAGCAAAGGAGAAAAATATATTGAAATATGAAATAATATTACATAACAAACAACAATAACCTTATATATATGTGTGTGTGTGTGTGTGTGTGTGTGTGTGTGTGTGTGTGTGTGTGTGTGATATAGATAGAGTTTAGAAATTTTCAAAATATTACATATCTTATTAACATTAACTGCTAAAGTCTGAATAATCTGTTTGAAGCATATTTAACTTAAAAAATTCTTTTTCAAGTTTTTTAACATCTGAAGTCTTCAAATTAAAACTAAGAATAACAGACATAGGTTTAGATTGTTCAAGAAAAATGTTCAAGACTAACCAATCATAGATTTGCGAAGCCTTTTCCATATAAACAGTGGCAGAACTAGAAATTTTAGTCCCTTAAACAAAATATGGTATAGAAATTTAAATTAAATTTTTAAATTCTTAGAAAATATCATAGGTAAGTATATTTAAAATTTCTTTTGTTGTAAGCAAATTCAATATTAAAAAAAACATTCCAAAAGTTATCTACAAAAAGATTTATAAACAAAATAAAAATTATTAGTTGAAACAAAAAGTAACAAGGATAAAAAATAATCACAACAATTGCATAAGGTTTAGTGAATAGTTTTGTTAAATAATTGGATTACTCTGTAACGGATGTATGTACATTTTATATCTACCAAATTTTAAATTTCTTATTTTTGTTAAAATATATCTCATATAATTGATGCCATTGGAAAATATATTCTTTCTGTCCTATTATTGACCAACTACAATTGGATCACATTATTTTTTGAAATTGCAGAATTTTAAACAGATTCTTGTTTACCATTTTGCAATAGTGCAATTGAAAAAAAAAAAACTGTAAAAACTGTCTAAAATAAATAATATATATCCATGTAAAATTAATCATTCCTAGTTGGAATAAACACAAAAAATATTAATATTTTTCTTATATAATTAAAAAACTTCTCATATTTATACCTGTTCAGTAGAAATAGTGCCTGGAGCCCAGTCTGGGCACTTAATAACTTTTACTATTAAGTACTATTATGTAAACCCTATATCATATAATACTTGATAGCATACAAGGTCTATAATCCAAGCTAATACTAGATTCTAAATATTAAGCTAGGACTAAATACTAAGCATACAGTGCACTATGTACATACAAGACTGTAATGGTGACGCACTAGATAAATGGTAAGCTTGCCTGTGCCTAAAACTGGTGCCAATAAATGTAACAAGCTCTTTTACAATCATGTGAATAGTTGTTTAGGATCTAAATTTGACGTAAACATTTGTCTTAAAGAATTACAGTGTTGCATAAACATACAAGTAGTATTTTTAATATTGAAATAAACTGTAGTCCAAATTATCTAGAAGGATAGAAAAGGCTGCTAATCTTAACTAAAGAGCTTTGAAGTAAGTAATTTAAGAAAGAAAAAGGAAAAAATCATTAGCAAAAGAAAAGAAAACTCTGAATTAAATCCAAGAGTCTAACTGATAAAAAAAAACACAAAATAATTGGTGGCCACTCTAAAAAGTCTCGTGTACTTAATTGCCCTTTACAAAAAATTTGCTAATAAATCTGATAAGATTTTATTAGCAAAGATATAATAAGATATGCTAATAAAATCTGAGAAGGAACTTATGGTAAAGCAAAGCTTTTTTATAACAAAATTTGAATTCTAAATGTTAACAAAATAGTTTGAATAATTATTTAAGTTTTAAACTTTTTATTTCTATATAGATTCTTTCAAAGATGAAAACAAGATTCCCAAAAGCATTTAAAGAAAGAAAATATGATGTAACTTCTGTAGACTAAGCTGAATAAAATTTAGTTTCCATTTTAAGAGTAAAATGAAAAATTTTAATCTAATTTCATTAAAAAAAAATTTCAAAAATAAAGAGAAAGAATTATATACATTATTACTTATATGGTTCAAAATATTTCTTCACATTTTCATATAAATATAACATTGTTTAAAGAGCTTAAATTGCTCCTGAAACCAAATATAAATCTTTAATAAAATTTTCTTATTCAATGACCACCAAAGAATTCTGCAATAAAGTTTCATCCTAAGGCAGTGAGGATTCACATTGAAACCTTTAAAATCTGGTCCAGAGTGCAAAATTTATCTCAAATAATATGACTCCAAATGCTGTGCTGGCCAACCACCAATGAAGGTTGGATCTATTTGTGACAAGATACTGTTGCTGACCGTATAACTTAAAAGCATTGGTGTCTTGTATTAGCAAATCAATTAATCAATAAATCTCTTATTCAATAGAAATATTTAATGATAAAAACAAAATGTATTACAAATGAAACTTATGATTTGGTCCTTTGATGGCTGTTTCTGTAACAAAAATAGTTGGTAATATTAAACTTTTCTGCTGGTTTAACAGATTTAACTTTTATTAATTACAATCTTTCCAGAATTCCAGAATCCATTAAAGCAATTTCTATAATTTAAAGAGAAAATAATGTTCTGTTTTGTCTATCATACAATTTTAAGTAAATAAATAATAAGTAAACTTGTGTTTTCTCATAAAAGTTTTCTATTCAGTTACATTTACTTCCCTTTCCACTTAAGAGTCATTTATTGTTAAGTAGATACATTTCCTATTCATTTCTTCTTATAAAGTTATCTCAAAGTTTGTAAAACTACTCGCCACTAACAGACGTCGAGATACAAATCATCCATTAAATCTACATCAAAAGTTCCGTTGACTTTGATATCTTAAATGAGAAAATCTTGTAAGTGACACATAATTGAAACTGCCATTTAAAATCTTTAACCATTACGTATCAAAAACAAAACAGGTTTTTGTATAGTGTTTCCACATCAAAAAAAATCTAATCCCTACAGTACCGTGTCTCCACATTACAATTTGTTTTAATATTTTATTTTTTGTTTAATTTTTTAAAATAAAAACAAAAAATTATTGTAATGATGTAAAATTCTGAGCACCGGTGGAAAAAATATGCATGCTAATTCACCATTCAAAGATATTTTAGCCAAGATTGCTCATTAGTTTCATTTGATTTCATGTATTTTTTACATTCTTTGTACTTTTTCTATCAAAACTTTTTGTACTTTTTGTATAAATAAAATTTTTGTAAAATATTAAAATTTAAAAAAATTCTAATGTGGAGACATACTAAACCAGTGTTTCTCAATGGGGGCAATATCGCCCCTATGTGGGCGATTTTCCATGTTGAGGGGGCGATTAGTGACAATTTATATTTTGGGGGCAAAAAACAATTTTATGGGCGATATAGTAAAACATTATATTAAGAATAATTAGATATTTTATTCGTTATATCGTACAATAATTAAACAAATAACATTATACTAGTCACTAGTCTATTCAATGCAGTACGAATTTGGCATTAGCCTTGGTCCTCGGCCTCAGAATTTTGAAGTGAAGAGGGCGATACTACGTTGAAGGGGGCGATGGTTCGTTACAGGTTGAGAAATACTGTACTAAACTAATACCAGCAAAACATTTGATTATTTAAATTAAATAAACAGATAATGTTTCTGATTCCAAATATTGCGGCGTAATTTTTATATATTAAGTAGCTTTCAAAATATTTAATATCAATGGTCAGTATTTAAATAAGACGGCATTAGTATTTACAACAGTTAACCGACTTTTCGGTCACCCTTTTCATCTGCCACTTTCGAATAAATAATAATAAAAATTTACCAAAAATAATTTAACTTCAAATACAAGCAAGAAAAAAGTAAGAAACAATTGCATAAAACAATAAACTAGTTTCAATATGTAAAAAAATTTTAAAACTAATCATTACATATAAACAACAGGAATTCATTTTTCTTTTTTAAATATCATTTCATTATATATATAACAATATATATATGATTTATTACCATACAAAAAGTCATTGATCATAGAAATCAATTCATTTGTCTTAAACATGCATTAACTGATTAGCATAAATCATCCAATATTTTTTATACGATAAAATTTAGAGGGTAATATTTTCAAAGTTAATGTTATCAAAATGGTTATTATATTGAAGCGAGGAATCATTTTTAATGCACTGCTGTCTAATGGAAAAATCTTTGTTTTGTTTCCTCATGCTTGTGGTTTTTTAAGGGTTTTCTTGTTTCCTTTTTATGTTTATAATTAACAAATTTATTCTTATTATTATTCATAGGAAATGACATATTTCTATTATAAATTGTTTGTTTTGTCGTAATGACAGAAAATTACGGAATGACAACATTCAACATAAGAAATTTAATTCAGAAGTTCACATTCACAATTTGGTATAAGATTAAACTAATATGGAAGCTAAACAGGTTATAGCTTAGACCTCTCATTGTTGGAAATAGTTGATGTCTCATACTTTTAAATTTTACTATTATTTGATGGAAAGAGATGAATTCTTTCCATGGAAAGTCTAGATCCAGTCCCTGGTCAGGATCTAAAGTTAAACGATAATTCCAAACCTCAGTGTGGATGTTAATATACATGTAGAAAATTAAAAACAATTATCTACCCAAATAATTTATATTGTGGATATTCTTGTTTACATTGCAATGTACAGTCGTTTTCTTGAAACAAAACAAAACAAAAGAAAGACAGACTGAGAGAGATATTTGTCTCATTTAGTAAAGATATTATCCTTAAAATTTATTCCGATCTCTCTAGTTTAAATCAACACAACTGA